CCACCACCACCTGCCCCACCTCTTCTTTCTCTCTCCTTATTGCTTGTACTCGTTGTGACTACCAACTCTGTTTTAATACTTTAATTGAAATAGAAGAAAGATGTCCACTGAAGGCATAATGTCGTAAAAAGATGAATTGGACATAATCCATATTTTGATAAACCGGGCAAGTCCCCAGTGAAAACTTGGAAAAGAAAAATGATTCCACAAGATTAATTTCACTGGTTGCAGCAGAAAAAAATAATAATTTCAATGGTCAATGGGTTGCGCTAATTAATTAATATTTCTCTTGATGACAGGTAACTCTCCCGCTATCTTCGTCACATTGTGAAATAGTACATCATTTGATGAGAATGTCCCTTGTCAAATGAAGAGAAAAGGGATAAAAATATACTGAACCAACTTTAGCAAATTCGTTCATCACCATTCACCATAGCAAACAGAATAAAAATAAAAATGAGTTATCACCGCTAGATTTAGGTTAGGGATGCAACTTGGTGGATCCAACCCCAGCTTAAACTGACCCAATTCTCAATTTTACATGAACTGGGCTTGGATTTTCGGTCCTTAGGCTGGACTTAGATCCTCATGGTCCATCTCTTTTCCTCCGAGCCTTCTCTCCTTCTCTCATGTTCTGAATTTCTTGGCTAATATATTTAGTGATAAATTAACAAGGGAGAAAATTATCGATTGGTTAGCTGTGGCCTGGTATTTCATCTGAATTGTTAGGAATAACTTGGTCTTCAAGAAAAAACATCACTTGGGTCCTTCAGAAAATCCAGCTAAATATGGAGAATAAACTAGGCCATCGAAAACCCTGAAAATGCCTTATCCCCTAACTTGCATTCCACTCTAGTAATTTCCCAACAACACAATGATGTTGTGAGTAAGGACTTATGCTCCCTCAATATTATCTGTGACGGTGGTACCCTCATGAGTAATCAAGGTTCTTTTGATTTAGTTAATTTGGATAATGACTTAAAATTTTGTGTGCCCTGGGTGACAAAGTTTCTAATGTTTCAGCCCCATGGAAGTTGAATGTATAGTGGTTCTTCAAAGCCTTATTTTCGCCAAGCAACATGGGCGGTCTGACCTCACCATTTACTCAGATGCAAAAGCGATTGTGGATGCAATAACAGGATCTTCAGAATTTTTGGACTGGAAATTGCAACATTACCTTGACAAAATCTTGAACATGTATATATATATATATATTAGTCCTAGGCCTTGGGAACTAACTTTACCGGCGCATCTAATTGCCCAGGTGGTGAAAACTTCCCTTTTCTGTTGTTGTTGGGATAATATTCCCTCATGGCTGGACCTAAACTCTTGTTTCTTTCTTTAATTACTTTAATATATTTTGTTAACTTATCAGGCTGGACCTGGATCCAAAAATTGTGGGTTTTGTATTTTTCGGTAACCCCAACAGACCTGACCAGCCCAATTATAGGTACTTACATATGTATTGCAAACATTATCACATGCACATGTGTCAAATTTTGGTATGCATGATCAATCAACCCAAACCTGCGCTCAAACGCAACCCAAATACATTAAATTTCAGTATCAGGTGTCAGGCTGGGTTCAAATTGGTTAAATCGGGCTTGACCTTGGGCTTAGGCCTTAAACCCAATTCTCAGGTTGGACTTGGACGGCCTCAACTTGCACCACTAATTTAGGTTGAAGTTGGTCTACAGTGTGATGTTTGCCTTTATGTGTGTTTTGAGGCTAAAGCCTAAATCCATTGAACAATAAGAAGTCTCAATACAAATAGTCATCCACTAGGGATTGGACAATTCTCTCAGGGAGTCTTGCCCCTAGGGTTGTGTTTGGTAGAAATGCCCATTAATTGTTCTGGGCTCATCAATACAAATTGATGAAATGATGAGAGAGATGTGTTATCACATCACATGTGAAAATCACTTCAGCCAGAATGATTAACATCATTGCTGTTTCAACTTAACAACGCCAATTTGACGTTTCGGTGAACAGCCTCCCCAATGCGATTTTAAGGTGTATGCCTGTTTCAATTATGATTGAATGTTAAATTTGTATTGATCAAAATCAGAACATTTCAAGTAGAAATAGCAAATAGTAGCACCGGTTCAGAGGGGTCAGTTTAAATCCCAACTACCCTCTGAACCATGGCCTGACCCGATATAGGTGCGTATCGGGAAGGCCCCGATATGTATCATCTGATACGGGCCAATATGTACTGACATTGTTCAATGTATCGTATCGTATCTTTTGAAAAAGATACAGTCGCCTGTTTCCAGGTGTTTCGGACCCCCAATTTTTTTAATAATAAAAAATATCTTATAAGTTTCCCAAAAGACTAAACTTTGAAAAAAAAACTAAAAAAAAAATATGTATCGGCCGTTTCTAAGTACCGATATGATACGACCGAAATTCATATCGTATTAATACTTTGAACCATGCGTACCAATATTTTGAACCTTATGATCAAATTATGAATTCTGAGGGGGAGTGGATCATAAAACCCCTTAAGATGCCATATATTGTCACATCTTAACTCCAATTTTTAGAACATGCCTGATGATGTTACCTTGGAAATCAGAAAAGATATGATATGAGGAAATATCCTTATTACTAGTGTATTCTCTTTTTTTTTTAGGGTAATTGTCCAAAATCCACCATCACTTTTTATGAATTCTCTTAAACTCACCATAACTTTTCAAAACGTCCAAAACCCACCATGCCAGTGACATTTTATTTTCTAAAACTCACAATCCATTAGAATACCGTTAAAGTTCAATGGGCCAAGTTGTCCATGTCCACCTAAATGAATGTTTCATTACTAAACTACCCCTAAATGGTGAGTCGGGCCAGTCGGTCTGTTAAGCATTTTTTTTGACTGAAAAATGTTTGAGGGCATGATTCTTCTACCTTCTGTTTTCTTGTTACTTCATCTTTTCAACACCAGCCTGTTAAACAAGTTCACTCACGAAACAAACGAGGCCATTGCTGGGGCTCATGAACTGGCAATGAACTCTGGCCATGCACGGTTTACTCCAATTCACATGGTTGTCGCATTGAAAACTGACCCAAATGGCATCCTCCGGCAAGCAGTCGCCAATGTTGGTGGTGGAGATGAAGCCACGAACTCCTTTGAATGAGTCCTCAATCAAGCCATGAAGAAAATTCCGTCTCAGCATCCTGCCCCGGATGAAATCCCTACAAGCACTTCTTTGATTAAGGTAATCAGGCAATCCCAATCGTTGCAGAAATCTCACGGCGATACTCATCTTGCCGTTGATCAGTTGATTCTTGGTCTTCTTGAGGATTCCCAAATCAGAGATCTCCTCAAGGAGGCTGGGGTTAGTGTGGCAGGAGTGAAATCAGAGGTTGAGAAGCTTCGAGGGAAGGAAGGAAGGTTGAAAGTGCTTCCAGCGACACCAATTTTCAGGCATTGAAGACATATGGTTGTGACCTTGTTGAGCAGGCTGGGAAGCTAGACCCAGTCATTGGTAGAGACGAAGAGATTCGAAGAGTGATATGGATTCTCTCTAGAAGAACAAAGAACAATCCAGTTTTGATTGGAGAGCCTGGTGTGGGTAAGACCGCTATGGTGGAAGGACTAGCTCAGAGAATCGTCAGAGGAGATGTCCCAAACAATCTTTTAGATGTGAGACTAATCACTTTGGATATGGGTGCCCTTGTGGCTGGAGCCAAATACAGAGGAGAATTTGAGGAGAGGTTGAAAGATGTATTGAAAGAGGTCGAAGAGGATGAAGGGAAAAATAATTCTCTTCATTGATGAGATCCATCTGGTTCTTGGAGCTGGTCGAACTGAGGGTTCCGTGGATGTAGCTAATTTGTTCAAGCCAATGCTTGCCAGAGGCCAGCTGAGGTGCATTGGTGCAACTACCCTTGAAGAGTACAGGAAACGTGTTGAGAAGGATGCTGCTTTTGAGAGACGATTCCAACAAGTTTATGTTGCAGAGCCCAGTGTTGCAGACACAATCAACATCCTTCGAGGATTGAAAGAGAGGTATGAAGGTCACCATGGTGTTCAAATTCAAGGCAGAGCTCTTGTGGTTGCTACTCAACTCTCTAGTTGCTACATTACTGGTATGTAACAAGTTCTTGTGGTTGATGAGTGGTTTTAGGGATTAAATTTATTTATTTTTTTTGAGATTTTGGTTTATAGATTTGGTTTCAAATTGGGATTTTAATTAATGTATCTTTTGCTCTCTTTAGGCCGTCATCTACCTGATAAGGCAATTGATCTAGTTGATGAAGCTTGTGCAAATGTGAGAGTCTAGCTTGATAGCCAACCTGAAGAGATTGATAACCTTGAAAGAAAGAGAATCCAGTTGAAAGTTGAGATGCACGTTCTTGGGAGAGAAAAGGACAAAGCAAGCAAAGCCCGTCTCGTTAAGGTGAATAGCGGCCGATGGAGGAAGAAAGTAGCAGCCAATGATTTCTTACTATTAGGGTTTTGGGTTGAAGAAAGATGGGGGTAATTTTGATATATTGCAAAATAGACCGAATATAATGAGGGGTAAAATAGTAAATTAACAATGCCAGTTAGTCAAGTTACACTGACATGGTGAGTTTTGTACAATTTTGAAAAGTTAGGGTGAGTTTAAGAGAATTCATAAAAAGTGACGGTGGGTTTTGAACAATTACCCTTTTTCTTTACTATTGCTGATGTGTCATTAGAAAATGCCTACTTGGCAGCAACCAACTACAGTCCCAAACAAAAAATAAATAAAAAACTGATGTGTCATAAAAACTGTACGCCATGTAAATACAACGGAAAACCCTCCAATCAAAGGATCTAGTTGGGGCAAAAAGTGCCAGCAATTGCATCACCAAAATCCAGATCTTCAGACATTTACAAATTACAACTTGAAGGCTAAGAAGCGAACGAGAACTAAACAGGAGGAAGAGAACCTAGTTCATGGAAGAATAGCAAGTCACACAAATGTTTGATCAAGCAGGAAGGAATTTAGCATCATCAAATCTCGGACAGGTAAGGGCAATGGGCATCGATAACATTACATTTCGTAAGGCAGCTATTAAAGAGAACAGTAATCGTGCGGTTGATACAATCATAACCAGTGGCAAAAAAAGCATAAATTGGAGCTGGTTCCTGATCATCAAACACACTAAACAAAAAGGTCCACCACAAAACACTTTACAAAGTTACGCCCAAGCAAATAGGAACTTGAGAAATTGCGGTCTTAGTAATCTTCTAAGTTCTAACTACAATATAGACTCGGCACAAATTAAAGCAACATAAATTACCCGGCGATAAGCATATGGATAAAGAGATAAAGCAACCAAGTCATGATTTACCATCCAGCCTACTTCCTGACACGCTCTTCCTTCCTTACCTGCCATGTTGTGGGGCTCTTTCCCTTTCGATTGCCAACTGATAAGCAATTATCATTTTCGGATGGCAGCTAGTTCCTCTTCCTACATTTCTCCATGGCCCTTGGAGCTGCAGGGGAAAAAACGATGCCTCAGATACCAAGATATTCTTGATGGAATTGTTACTTGTTTATAAGAGCATGCAAATGCCAATGTGCGGAATACACCGCCAGAAGAGGCATGTCCAGGCCAACAAAAAGACTCAGAACACAACTTGGAACGCATAAATTATTAGAGGGTCTTGAGGGACGACAACCATAAACAATCAAAAAATGGACTTTTTCCCAACGGATCATGTCCGATATAAAGTAGTCAGTCTGGATCTCCTGTACTTGAAGCTTTGTGCTAACTTGTAAACTAACCAATGAGAATTCATCAATTCACAGGGGTGGATTTGGTTGGTCAGACCCTCAAAAGTGAGATCTTCCACTATCACAACCACCCACTCTCACTTTTGAGGGTCTGACCATTCAAAACCACCCTTGTGAATTTTGATGAATTGCCATTGGTTGGTTTACACTTAGCACTGAGCATCAAGTATTGGAGATCCAGACTAGTGACTTGTTCTATGCAGGGAAAATAATGAACAAAAAGAAATCCATGCAATGACACCGGGCAGATGGCAACCCAGGAGAGAGAATCAAGTCAGAAGCAGAACAAGGATGTTCTTTGGATCAGGGCAAAAACAGAAAAACTGTGATATGATCCAGACTTTCTCTGCCAATTATTGTTAATAAATAGTGGAGCATAATGGAGTCTCTTTTGATATTATGAGACACAGGAGCATGGAATTTTCATCCTCATCCTCCCTGGGCAAGAAAAGATGTGGTGGATCAAGCATGAGCAAACAGCACTTCTTGGGTTTATTCACCTTTTCCAAAGCCACCTCTAATGCTAACCAAACTGAGAACAACACTTTACTTGTAATGTTCACCATACAGAAGGGAGGATGCAATCCATTATTCATAGCATCGTTTTCCAAATAGAATACATACACACCTAAGCCAATGGCATCAGAGCTTTTCATGATCCTCAACCGTTTGCATGAATCGGTAAACATCCTGTCATAGATCCACAAGCTCATTTTCTCAGACCAGTAGGAATGCAAAAAGCAGATTATGTGAGATAGGACTTCAAAAAAATATATATATCAAATTTATCCATCTTATTAGAAAATCAAACAATTAAGCCAACTAACCAAAATTGGAGGTTTTGTAGTGTTAATCAATATCTTCTGTTGAAAGTTCTTAAAAAAAACAGATTGACTTCCCGTTAGATGCTTCAAATTGCATTTTAAGTTTCTTTATGTAACATTCAGCACATGCGAACAACCAAACCATGTGAAAATCATACTTTATTGCTGGGAGTGATTTAAGTGGTTTAATGGTGTAGGTTATTTTCAGGATGACATAAGGTAGATATTATGAATTAAATGATGTATTCAACCATTCCGACATCATAAAACACTCTTTACATTTTGTTTCTTCCTTTGCTAGAGCACGCTGGTCCAGATCTCACTCTAGATGTGAAATAAATATTGCTTTTGCAAGTTCTTTTTTTTTTTTTTTTGTGAACACCACCAAAGACAGAAGATACACCTCCAAGTCAGATACTAAATATTGCTTTTGTTTCTTCCTTTGCTAGAGCATGCCTGTCAGATCTCACCTCTACATGTGAAATAAATATTGCTTTTGCAAGGAATTTTTCGTGAATGCCACAAAAAGCATGGAAGATGCACCCCCTAAGTTATAAATACTATCGTATATGATACTGTCATGGTAGAATGCAATGCACGATGCACCAAGATCCACCTTGAACTATGGATCAAATCAAATTAGTACAACCCTCCCAAATGGAATCATTTCCCATCCCATGCATTTTTGAGTTGTAGTCCTGTTCATTAGCAACATATGGGGCTACAACTTGGGGGGGGGGGGGGGGGGGACCTGAGCCGAGCTGGATTCAACCCATGCTTTTGCATTGGCTGGGCTTGGATTTTCTGACTCTGGGCTTGATGACTCATGCTTCACCTTAAACTCAAGTTAGTCTAGGGTTGAAGTCTTGGGTAAGCCTAGCCCAGCCCAATCCAAGCCCGCCTGACCATCTATAGTACATTTAAAAATGTTATGTATGCATGTTTATTAAACTATTGTGTAAGTATACTTACAATATTTATATTATCAATCAAGGCCTACATTCATGCATAAACATGTAAAAACAAACATATATTATACTTGTCGGTTACAGCTCAAATGAAATGAAAAAATGCAACATGTGTAAATAGACTCTTAAACCTGGCCAACCAATCCAGGCTCAACCATGCACACCCAAGACCACCCAGGTCCAAAGCCAGCTCAAGTTGGGTTATGTTTAGCTTGGACTGGGCAACTTGGGCTTTGACAGGTTCAGCCACTCCGGAGCCCGGGCCAAATATCCAGGCCTGGCCTAGGTTGCTACCAAAAACTAAACTGGTCCACCCTGCCCAGGCTACACCCCTTAGCCACATTAAACAGATCTTTTTTTTTTTCTTTTTCTTGGGAAAGGTAATGCGATTTTTTTGCACATGTACGGTTGATAAAAGTGCTGTTACCAGATGTTGGTCTTGGCTACCCAGGTCCTTTGGGAGAGGTGGGGTTGATAAAAACCTAACCTCTATAATAAACCTTTGGAATTTCTCAACTACAGGTTAAGACTTCTCAAACCAACTGATGGTGGCTCGGTTGGTAGGACCTCTGACTTGTTGTAGCAGGACCTGGGATCAAATCCCGCTGCCACCAGACTTGGGGGGTTAAGGGGATGAGGGATGGGCTACCCCTCATTGTGTAGCCCCATGAAGCAAAAAAGGTTTAAGACTTCTCAGCAATAAGCAATATAATTATCTTTTTCCAAAAAAAAATGTAATATAATTATCACTCATAATCATATAGTTACGCTATAAATATCTAAATAATTTATTCACAGAATAAGGGAGGGGAATCTCCATAGTTAAATTGGCTTTGTCAACGAAGATGGACTAAACAGAGGCAGGATTAAAGCTTACTCCCAGGGGACATCTCCCACAAGCATCCAGTCACCATCCTTATCCTCATAGGTAAGAACATACTCTGATCCATGGAGAAGATCCCTCAGCTTGCTCTCGCTCAGCATCTCCCTACCTGGGGGTCCATGGGAGCCACATTGACCTGAAATCATACAGAAACAGCAATAACTGGATCCATACTAACACCATTGTTTCCCTAAAATGTATCAAATCGGATCTGCAAACATCCACATGGTCTAAGTTCTAACAATGCACTCTCTAAATAACTGAAACACTTAAATGGCTCACCTATGGTGAAACAGCTGAACATCTTCTCAAGAGCAGAAGACAGCTCCTGATAGTTAGAATAAGTTCTAAGATCCACCTTCCTCAGATATGGAGCACCATCCATGCTTACTTTGACAAAGAGAGCACCTGGACCTGGTTTTCCATCAACTTCTTCATTGTTCTTTGAAGTGGTGGCAAGTGTGTTCTTCCTGAATGATCTAATTGGTGGCCAACCAACAACTTGTGCCCTGCCGTGAATGGAGAATCGGTGAGCTTTTCCACGTTGAAAAACCATTTATGAATGCCTCTTCAAGAAAATGAGCAATATACTTACTTAGCAGCAGGTGCACTGGTATTGTGGTTAGCAGCACCTATCTGGCTATGGCTGGTCTCATTGGCAGGACGGGGCTTTGGGGGCACAATCTCTTTCGTCATGCCGGGGTAAGCCCCAGAATGCTCCTTCACAGAAACAGGTTTCACTCCAGAGTTGGGTGAAGACCTGGCTGACAGCAGTCCTGGGTTAACATGAAATTTCCCTTGTGCCACAGATTGGGTAGTTTCGGAATCAGACCCGGCAGCAGGAAACATCCAATTGCCCTCAGTAAACACAGCACTTTTCATCTCTGAGAAGCCATCCATGGCGTCAGAAAATCCTCTTTTGTTGCCAGAGACAACAGCCTTCTGAGAAGATGAGCAGATACCATCCTTTGAAGGAAGCAAAGGAAACAAGGGCTTTTCATCAAGTTTCCCTGGGCTCAGAAGGCATAGCTCAGAACCCCGTTCAGGAGACTGAGATCCAGGAAGCCCAAGTCTCAGTTCCGTTGCCTTCAGATTAAGACTGCTCTTATTCTCTTCAGACAGGCCGGATATTGCAGAGCTGTCCACTGAAGAACAATCAGATAATCCCATGTAGTTACGCTCTCTCAATCCTGAAACATTCTGGCAGCTACTGTCCACGGAAGGCGATGAAGGCACCAATGTGACATTACTCGGTCTCTCCACAACATTGAGCAGTGGTGGAGACATTAGGGTTGTAGAAGTTCAATTCTCAACCTGCTCGCGTTCAAACCATTCAATTTTCAGAACCAAACCTAAACTGCCTTCAATAAATACAGTCCTGCTACTTGGAGAAAGCTAATTACCGATAATGAAAGCCAACAAAACAAATTAAAAATGCAGAAAGATAGGACTTCTTAATAAGCCACTTTTCAGGAAGGCATCAGTCTTATTATAAATCTGTTCCATTACCAAAAGCGACGAGGGCAATTTTTTAATAATTAAATCTTTAGCAGAACCTTAAGTGATGAGGATTTAAAAGAAAAACAGAAACAGCGTAAAGCTTAAGTACTGATGAGTCCGAAATTGGAGAAAAGGCAAAACTGGAACTCTAGTAAACAAAGGCGGAAATAGTAAAGATAAAACCCTTTCCAAAATCCAAATGTGAAAATATATATCGAAGATATGCAAAACAACATGAAACTGACGACAAGGTTCGAACCGAAGTCAAAGATTAACCTCTATAACAAGCTTTAAGAACAAGAGATCACAATGAACAAGCCACCGAGAGGAAAAAAAACAAGAAAAAAGTAAAAGAAAAGCTTTACAGTTTTCAGATATTGAAAGTAAAGAAATGTTCAAAAAAGAGATTATCTTTACATACCGATATCATTATAGAAAAATGTCATGTGCAAGCAAAGAAAAGGAAGAAACGAAAGAGATTTGTGGAACAAAGCTCAAAACCAGAATTAACGTTAATGAAGAAAGATAATAGAAGAAAAGCAGTGATTGGGGAAACAAGCCAAAAAATGAAAGGACTCAAAATATTTTGAAGAACAAAATTAAAAAAAAATCTAAAAAATAAAAATTGCGGAAATCAGTAATTTGCAGTGAAACAACCTATAACCAGACAGACAAGCAAAAAATGAATGAACATGAGAATGAATGAAAGAGAAAAAAAAAAGAAATCCATCTCATATGATACAAAAACAAGAGTGGGTTACTTGATTTCAACCAACGGAAGTTAAAAGGAATGATAAGAAATTTTGAAGGAGATTATAAGACCTAGGCACTGGAGATTCTGAAACTTACAGATATCGTGGACAAGATGCTGAGACGGGGTTCAATTAGGATTTCGTTACGCGAAGATTGCACGAGAAATGCAAACGAAAATGGAAAAAGCAGTGCTAAGGGCCTTCCATTTAGAAGAAACCAACAAAAGCTTCTTCTTCTTCTTCTCCTTCTTCTTATTTGGCTGTTCTGTGTTCTGCAGAACTCAAAGCAGAAAATAAAAGCAGGTAAAAACAGAAAAATAGAAACAAAAAGAAAATGACTTGGAAAATTCGGACAGCTGCCTCTGATATCCCGCCGATGAATCCAAGGGACAGGATCGAAAGATGCAGTTTTCAGATAACTTGCATCTCGACCGTTGATCAACAACTCAGCAGAAATGAAATATCTGCCCTTATTACAAGTGGCAGTGGAATATGGAAAGGAATAAAATATGGGTGCAGTTGATAGTGTTGGTTTGTTAGGATCAGAATGACAAATACGTTCTTGGCTTTCTTCATAATGACCAAGGCATCCTCTAATTTGGGTGGCCCCATAAAAAATAAGCAGTGGGACCAGTTTTGTAATTGGTGGCAGTGCGAATATGCGATGGCTGAATATCTGTTTCCAGTTTCCAATTTCCATATGTGATATAGATTGATTCCAGGACTTATTTTGACTAAAATGACCTTAAAAACCAAAAGCATTGGAGGGTATTTTTGGTAATTTAAAGTCAATGGAGTGATGGAATCGAATTAGTAACTGGTACTGGTAGTAGAACCATAGAGTAGTCAAAGGCTTGATGAAGTGAGAAGGGGAGGAGGGTTGCTTAAGCCGCGTCTAACAAAATTCAACAACTCCACTGATGAAGTTGTTAATAGCTGGTGGAGATTCTCTTTCAGTTTCAGCAAACCCAACATCAACAATCCTCTAGGCTAGACTACCAACCTCGAAATTCCAGAACGATTAAGCTTTACTTAAATGACCAGAATGTCCTTAATGTCTAAGTCATATAGCGTGTTAGTTTTAACGTTTATAGTTTTTAGTCTGAACACATCTTATTTGATTTATTGTATGTATGAAAAATAAAGAATAGAAGGGACATTTGGTTGAAAATAGAGAGAAAGTAGAAGGATAAAAGGGGAAAAGGGGAGGAAGGTGGGGAGCAGAGGGTCTAAGTCACGTAAGAAACATTTATAAGGCGAGAGTGAGTTGGGGGACAGAAGGAAGCAGAGGGTGAGAGTTGAAGGGGACAAGAAAGCGGCATTCTTAGATGGTTTGCCGGGTGGGGAACGGGACATCCCAGCCCTCCTCTGCCCTCTGGGGACCMCCCCCCCCCCCTTCTCTCTCTCTCTCTCTTTCTCTCTCCACAGTGCACAGTGTACACCATTTTTTTAAGGAAAATTTATTAATCATTATTTCATTTTCTCCTTTTTTATTTCTTCTGCTTTCCTTCACTTTAATTAATACCTAATATTCTTTGTTTATTACAAATAGAAATCCACATATTGTAAAGAATTGATTTATTTATTTATTTAGAACGAACGAAAGTGTTGGTTCACTCACTCTCACTGGTCTGGTCTGGGCTGATCTGGTCATCATAATTAACTGTCACGACCCTGTCGCACGCTCTTTACCTATGACGGCATGGCTCCCAGATTATTGGTCTAAGTCGTAATTGTTAGCGAGACGTTGGACCGCCTGATTTGAGATGGATGGCTACGATAAATGAGAAACACTGTAGACTGGTGAGGGGAGTGTTTTGGTGTAATTGCCTAATGGTAGTAGTGTTAAGGATAATAATTGTTGGTGCATGAATTGAACTGAGCTGAGAGAACGATGAAAGCGACAGAAGGTAAAAGGAAGAGAAAACAAAAAAAAAAAAGGGAGGGGCGTCGGGCTCTGGGGTCTCGGCTATTAAACTCTGATAATGCGGGACGCAGCCACGACAGCGGGACCCGCTGCTGAGAGTGAATCAGTGAAGCTCATCGCCTCCTAGGCTCCTACCCCAGTCCGGCAGTCCCTCCCCTTTTGCTGATCATATCATATGGAAATGCCTAAGAGTAAAGAAGCAGCTTTTACCTTTTCTAATCCAACAAGCTACCGAACGAAGCCCACTTAACCCACCACCGGTAAAAGAACTTGGTTTCCAGCCAGGGTCTTGCTCTTGGCATTCTTTAACCAATAAATTTCTGACAGGTAAGCAACTTGAGATGGCCGCAACTGCAGGGCACGTGGTCTGCCTTAGACGAGGGCAAGGTCAATGCTCGTGCATGCATGTAATTGTTTCAATTTTGAACTTTTGAAGAGCATGGATTGAAGTTGCAGTGTTGAGTGTTTGACTGTAGAGGAAGAAGAGGAGTAGGAGGAGGACAGACAGGTCCACCTTTCTACTTTGTTTTTAGCAGATAGTCATAGTAGTATTAGAGTTATAGCAGAGAGCGTGGCATGTGCACGTGTGGAAGCAGCATGCTTTGCGTTGCACTTGAGATGGAATTGCCTCACGTGAGACAACACCTGACAAACACCAGATTGGGGAACCACAAAACTTGATTGAAATCAAGTGGGTGGGTGGATTGTTGTCAGTGACTGTCTCACTCTCACAAGCAACCACATTGCAGCTTGCCAGAGGAGGCCGGACTCCGGAAGGCATCAGGGTCCTGGCACACATTGGTCCCCAGCCCTCAGTCCATCACCTTATTTTTTCTGAATTCTGAGACCCGCACAAGGCCGTTTGATCCTTTCAGTTTGTGCTCCCAGGACCCAGGTGTGATCTACGCAAGATCCAACGGTGACAACTGGCAAGTATAATAGAGAGAGAGAGAAGAGATGAGGGGTGCTTACTGTTTTTGTCCGTGGAAGACAAACTAGTGCGGCTGGGGGGGGATGGGGAGAGTTGGATGGAATGGTACGATGGGGGGGAGAGGGGAGGGGGGTGTAATAAGCTTCTTAAATGCGAAGTATAGTATAAGTATTGACAAGCATTTAATGGGGTGATGTTGATAGGGCTTAGACCTGGTACTTGGGGTGGGGTTTGGGGTTTGCATGGGCGTGGCCTGTGTACCACACGCCACACCACACGGGATGCCTTGCAATTGCTCATGGACTGGTACCAATCCATCTCCATCCGACTGATCAACACAGATGGAGAGAGAGAGAGAAAAAAAAAAAGAGAAAGATGCTTGGCAGTGTTGTATGGTTTACCGGGATTTTGATAAGAAGCACTCTGCAATCCAAGGTGATAACTGCAACTGGCAACGACGACGGGGAACGATGAAACTTGTACCGTCCGAAATGCCATAACCATACATCATAAACATCATAGTCAGCCCCTTTTACTTGGCCGTCGGTATTGGAATAACTTGATATACATGAAGGCCTCGCTTGACTGTGTGTCGTACTAATAGATTGGAATTGAGGTAGGTTTTGTTATTTGTGGTTTGGTCTATGGATTATATATACGTTATTGATACCTCTTAATGTTCATTAATGGTTACAAGTTAATAAAGTGCTAAGGTGTACGTAATACAAGTTACAAGTTAATTTTATTAACTTATTACTAATCATATCTTTTCTTTTACTTAAACACAAACGCATCATGCACCTTTACACCAGTATACATGCATCTACATATGATATTAGGACGTGAAGTTAAAACAAAAAGTATTGACATCATATATGCTGCATTTGGATGCAATGTAAATCAAGAATTTATATATGTAAGATTTACATTGATTCAGTTTTGTGTGCGTTTGATAAAAAGGTGTAATTATTATCAACATAAAATTATATTCTGGTTCAATTTTTACGTGCATTTGGATGGAGTATAGTTTTACGTCGATAATAGATAAAAAACTTCATCACCTTTAAAATTTTATATCAATTTTATCGATGCAAAACTTTATAATTTTTTACATCGATTTTCAAAATGTAACGGTCATTATATATACGGTTCAATGTCAAACATCATCACTATAAAAATTATTGCCTAATACCCATTTCCAACCACTTCAAAACACAGCCATAGGAAAAGATTATTGCCTAGTACCATTTCCAACCACTTGATATTGAGGCTTTGATGTTTGATAGTTAACCCCATCAAGTATCTAGTTCAAAGGATATTGGACTGTATTGATATTTTGAACCTTACCCTCAACTATTGATATATTAATAGCCAGCAGATGGAAGAGGTGGTGATATAATTAAAATCAACTGGATCTGTATCTTAGGGGTGCAATAATCAAGCTCAGCTGAATTGAACTTTATCATCTTTTGACATGGTTAATTTGACTAAATTATATATATATATATATATATATATATAAAATTTAGTTGAAAAAAATTAATCGCTTAACCTATTATTTTATTTCGATTAGCATCAAACTTGAATTGAACTTATTTGATGAATATGACTCCGAACTGATCAATTGAAGTTGGATCCAATTGTACCCTTAAGCTTTATATATTTTGTAGTGTTATAAGTTTACGATTTTCATAGCTTAATGTACAATTCTTTTTCTTTTTTGTTAAATTTAGGGTAATTATAAAAGATTTACTTATTTAACAGTTATAAGAATCTATGCTCTGCGTCTAAATAGGCAATTATCCTTCTACTGTGTTTATAAATTCAACGCCTTTTTATTATTGATTAGGCCTGTTCATGGGTTGGGTAGTCTGATGAATCAATCTGGCCTACCCTGATTTAAGTTGTGTTTGGATAAGATATTAGGCCCATGGGTTTAGGTTCGGGCTTAAAATATCAGCCTGAATTTTTTTGGGCTGGGTTCAAGTTTTCTCAAAAATCCTGGCTAAAGCCCAAGTCTAACTCGATAATGTATTTATATAATAAAAATATATATAATATATTATTTCTTTATTATTCTTATTTTTTTCAAGTAATAATGAGATCTTTTATTATTTTTAGGTTTTGAGGTCTTTTAGTATAAATAAAATAGTTTTTTATTGAATGAAAAAAGAAAAAAAATTCCAATTTTCTGACCGGGCTCGGGCTCAGGCCTAGATATATTCTATTAATACAGAAACAAAGCCCAGCCCAGTCCATAAACAGGTCTAATGCTGATTTGGTGCTTAAATTGATATATATTATTTTTTTAGTGTTCATTAATATTTTTTTTATCCAAATGAGTATTCATTAATAAATCGATATTACTGATGTGCATTGCCTTTTTAACAAAAAATAGCTGCTTGTTAATTATTGCGTGTATTCATTAAAAACCAAAATTACAA